AAAATATTCTGTGGAAACCCTTGATAATAAAAAAAACTCATATATACAAAAGAATAAATATCCAATTATTGAATAAAACGATCAAAACAAATTAAGAAGTGCATTGGGTCTATTATGCAACAAGCTTAACGTTACGTCGCATTTAATTCCCTGTGTTGAGTAAAATCGATAGTTTCCAAGGACGTGACATTGAAAACTCGTGCACGCTTTTCCGTGTTTATTTATGCAATACAAGTTTCCGTTCGCACGTGTTAATCATAAATGCAAACTATTGAAACATGAATTGATTCATTCAAACGAGAACTTTCATTTATAGGCAATGTAATTACTATATCAACACTGTGAACCGTGACCGTGAAAATAGCCCGCATTCATCTCAAGTTCATCACTTGCATCTGCGCATTGACCTTTATACGTTGGTGCATTTTATAATGGGAATTAGATTTCTGCGTTTTTTTGTAACTAGTGGAGGAAGGTTATCTTAATAAAATTTATTACCTTAGAGGATAAGGCTGTTTCGTTATTATTTATTCGTTACATTATTTAATACTATCAATGCTGCTAAGATAGTACGCCATTCAGTAAGTTTCATAACGCATTACGTTAAAATGTAAGGTAAACTTCAGGTGCCATTACAATTCGTTTGTTATAATGTTTATTTTGTATTATTCACGCCTTCATACAAGGAATGTCTTTGTTGTGAGTTTTGATATTTTTCCTTCATACCTTTCCTTATTTAATACTATGAATGGTGCTAAGGTAATGGCGTCACTCAGTAAGTTTCATAACGCATTACGTTAAAATGTAACGTAAACCTCAGGTGCCATTACAATTCATTTGTTAAAAAGTTTGTTTTGTTTTATTCATGCCTTCATGCAAGGAATGTTTTTGTTGTGAGTTTTTATATTTTTCCTTCATACCTTTCCTTATTTAGTACTATGAATGCTGCTAAGGTAATGCGTCATTCAGTAAGTTTCATAACGCATTACGTTAAAATGTAACGTAAACCTCAGGTGCCATTACAATTCATTTGTTAAAAAGTTTGTTTTGTTTTATTCACGCCTTCATGCAAGGAATGTTTTTGTTGTGAGTTTTAATATTTTTCCTTCATACCTTTCCTTATTTAGTACTATGAATGCTGCTAAGGTAATGCGTCATTCAGTAAGTTTCATAACACCTTACGTTAAAATGTAAGGTAAACTTCAGGTGCCATTACAATTCATTTGTTAAAATGTTTGTTTTGTTTTATTCACGGCTTCATGCAAGGAATGTTTTTGTTGTGAGTTTTAATATTTTTCCTTCATACCTTTCCTTATTTAGTACTATGAATGCTGCTAAGGTAATGCGTCATTCAGTAAGTTTCATAACACCTTACATTAAAATGTAAGGTAAACTTCAGGTGCCATTACAATTCATTTGTTAAAATGTTTCTTTCGTATTATTTAATTCTTTATAGAAGGATTTTTTGTTTGTAGGTAATTTATGAAGTTTCTACATGTTTTATTCGTTTGTTTAATTTTAACCGCTAAAACCAGGAGAGTGTGGACTTGTTTGTCAATTGACGCTAATTATTATATTTAATTACTTAAGTAGGTGGATGAACTCAGGGCCCACTTGGTGCTAAGTGGTCACTGGAGCTCATACGCATCAGTCACGCTAATGCCGCCATCCATCTTGAGATATGACTTGTAAGTCTCTGTTTTTACAAGACAATGGCTGCTCCACCCCCCAAACCGAAACGCAGTACTGCTTCACATCATAAATAGGTAGGGTGGTGATGGATACTATGGCAGGCTTACAGGACGCCTTGCCACTAGTTTTTAGTTAGCACCAAAAATTACTATTTCTGCGGGTTTGATTTTTTAAGACGTAGCGTGGCTAGGCCTCCCACAAGATGGATCGACGGTCTATTGAGGCTCGCGGGGATCCGCTGGCAGTGCAGGACCGGTCTTTGTGGCGAGGCTTGGGGGAGACCTATGTCCAGCAGTGGACGTCTATGGGCTGATAAGAAGAAATTTTTTAGGGTTTCCCAACCCTTTTCCTTTATTTCCTGGTTGACTAAGGGGCTATTCCAGTTACGCTCGGAAGGGGATTATTATTACAAGATGTTGTTCCTTCATAGTGAAAGTCGTTTGTGAACATTTTATATTTACTTATTTCATTAGAAAAAATTTGTCGAACACCGGCACAGTTGCATCGCTCGATACGAATGCACTGGGCCTCTTATCCTTGAGGCCACGGTGAATTAAATTGTTTTATGAAGAACGTACCGCAAGAGAGCACTTTATTTCAGAGCTTCCAGTATTTCAGAGTTTGAAACAGCTATCTAAAATGGGTTTAACTACTGTGCCAATGTTTTTTTAAAACATAAAAACGTTATACTACCTACCTATTTAGTCTTTGATAGTAAAGTCTGGTGGATCAAATAATGACATTTAAGAATGAGTTATCAAAGCATTCTTGTATCTTATAAAGAAAAGCAATGTTTTATTGAATATTGTGCATTTAACATTCAATACTGGTATTCTATTTCTAGATAAAACACTCGTATCTTTTTTACTTGTTTTTTTTTTGGTGGCTGACTATAAACGGAAACTGTATAATTGTGTACGCAAAAAAGCTTCTTGTTTGAACGAGTCCAATTCGGAAAATGGCTCAGTTTCGTTGTCGTTTGCACAACTGTGTTTTTTTATTTTTATAAAAGTAGCCTTTTGTTATATCGACGAGTGAAAGCCTATTTGGTTTAAGTGAAATTTTTGCAACTACGCAGGAGAGCCATTTAAAAATTTGGTAAAAATATTACGATGAAAACCTTCTTCAGGTACTTGAATGTGGTAAACATAATTGAAGTTCAATTAAAAACATCGAATTGTTGATTTTAATACCAAATAAAACGGACCTTTAATTACCAAGATAAATCTTCTTTGTCTCCACCTTATCCCACTAGGTGGGGTCGGTACAGTGAATTTGTCTATTCTATTATCTTCTATCAGCCGTCATCTCAACACTCACTCCTCTCTTTCTCATATCGTCATTCACACACTATTCATGTCTTCTTCGGTCGACCTCTTCTCTCTCTACCTTGCACTACCATTTCCAAACATCTCCTAGTCACATGCATTACATTACATTACATCACATGTATTATCAATTACAAAGGTAAATCTCGCGCTTTAACCGAAATGTCGCTTAAAAAAATAGCCTTTTGACCTCTCGATATGTACCGCTGAAAGTTTCTCGGAACAATCCATATGTAGTATACGATAAAGCATGCAGAGTGACTCCAGATTTTTCCGCAACCCTAACGTGTCCAATTTACCAAACAGCCCGGCATCACCGATGTTTCGAGTGGCTAATCTCTGTGGCGAGAATATAAAAAGAAAAATGAAATAGAGAAAACTGGTATATACCTACATCGAATACACATTCGTTAAATTTGTTTTTGTTATAAGTTGGGGAGATAGAAAATATGAAACATAATAATTCCCACAATTTATTACGTAAATCTCTGTGGATCGTGACCGCCATCTTTTTTTTTTTTGACACGGAAGAGTTCCGCACCCAGGTTAGTTGTTATTCTTATATTATTATTCTAGACTTCTAGATACATAAAAATATGTTGTTAATAAACTATAGCAAATGTACGGCGTAAATGCATTCGTTCATGTACAGCAATGTTTGTATAAAACGTTAACCTCTATTCATTCTGAAATTTAATTGAATTTACCCTAACGGAGATTTTACGCTTCCAATCGAATACTCGACACGTTTCTATAAAAACACCACGTTTGAATCAATTTTATGAATGGAAAGTGACTCAAATTCTCTACAAAATTTTCAAAACAAACATGTATTTAAATATGTATGTAAGCCTGCTTGGTGATATTTAATAATGGTGACCAAATAGAGCGCCAGGCCGCCTATCTTCCACAGAGGTAGAATAATATTGAATAATTTAAATTGAATCCATGCTACAGTTATCTACTTATGAATATTTTAATTATGTTCTTACATTATAATATTATAGATAGATTTAATTTTCACTAATCTTCATTGTCAGTATTATCTATTACAAGTACATATTTTTGTTTTTTTAATGAAATTTATGAATAATCATCACTCGAATATTTGGAATTGTATAAAATAGTTCTAATAATATTTGGTTTTTATTTACCATAGTATTTTTTATAATAGGATTACGTTCGAAAAATTGATATATATATATGCCAGTCCGTGTAGAATTAAGTATTTTTCGCAAAAATCAAGCCTGTTGTTGATATATATCATTGTTCAATATACTAGAGTACTACTTTTACCCAGCCAATCTTCACTGTGGCACGTCTGCTGTTGCTTAACGGATTAATGTGTACCATCTATGTATAAAGTAGGTACACACAATAAAATTAATATATTTCTGCAAAGTTGAATTGGGCAACATGACATGGACATATTTGGCCTTTTCTACGCAACTAAATTAATATGCAGAGTTTGTTTTGAACAAATCGGATAAACCTTGTCTTATTTAATGAACTAAGTATATAAATTAAAAAAAAAGATGTGTGGTGTCGTAGAACACCGAATAGGAACGAAGTTCCTCATTATAAAATATAAATGTTAAGTTCTATTTTAAAAAAAAAAAAAAACTGGAGGTTTCGCAATAACCCACGGTCATTCGGTAACGTGCGAAAGTATTGTGGTACACTTCATTCACGGTTGTTTGCATAAGAGTCAGTGTAATGCGCAAACGAATGATAAAAAAAAAGTTTTTTTGTACGTTATTACAAAGTTAAGTCGTAGACTGTGTGCATTACTATTATAATAAAAATCTTACGTTACGGACGTTTTTTCCCGGTTAGGGTACCCCTCCGCATCGTCCCATAAGAACTTCGTTCCAAAAAAATTTTTTTTTTTTGTACTACATTTTATTGTTCATAAAACAATCCACGATGTAGAATAGCTCGTCCTATGTATGGCGCTCGGTGCGCTGCTTCGTCAGTCTAGCCAGGAACTACGTAGCGCGTAGCACGTCTTTCTCGTAGACGCTCGCTTCTGGTTTAAAAACCAAGTGAATTTAAATTTTGAAGTTATTTTTACGGTGGTCGATTGATAATAGACATCAGTGTCTACTTAATACTTTAAAGAAAATTATCTGTTCTCGTTCAGTGTTAATTGGACTACTCCGTCACACCGCTAATAGATAAATATTAAAATTTTCTCTATCTGTTTGCATATAGTGTGTTTTTATTTTGCTTTTCAGACTTAGTAGTTTCTTTGTAGTTCAACACAAAGCCTGTTCAAAAACCTGAGCAAATGTTTTAATGTTAATAAATTATGCACTTCGTGTTCATTTTTTATAGAAAGCCAAGAGTTCCCACGTTAGTTCAATTACTGGTTTAATTTTATATAACAATTACAGTTATAAAATCGTAGTAACTAAAACTAAAAGGTGAGTACATTGAGAAATAAGATATGTATATTAGATAGTTCATAATAATTTCAAGTCATTCAAATTACCATTTCTTTGATCGCCTTCGATTTTATAAGGCTTTTTTCATAGACGGTTGAACGAGTTTACGATCCACCTAGTCGTAAGTGGTTGCTAGTGTCCATAGATACTACGTGGGTACCACTATTCACCTTGAGACTTGAGGTCTATACGTCTCAGTTGCTTAGTAATTACGCAAAAGATATTTTTTTCTGGGTTTAATTTTTATTACTGTTGATGGTACCGGTCAATTTCAAAGTATAAGGTGGTCAATCACGTGCCATTTTCCAAGATAAAAAGTAGCCTATGCTATCTACTGTCGGACTCATAAACTTTTCTTTATCCATCATAAAATCTCCATTTAGAAAATGGTGTCGACCCATTCTCTTGGCGGCCAATTGAATTTTTTAAATGACTTTAATTGAATTATCGATTTAACTAGCACGTAACCGTCACGCCAAGACTTTTTGAGCGTAGTTAAAACACGTCATTGTAAGACCTGTTGAGTCGAACTGGCGGTAAAGCGTATTGTAAGCCCACAAAGGTGGGTATCATAAACCTGATTGTTTCTACTACGAAACAGGCATGCGTTCCAGTTTGAAGGCTTGGAATAGCAATTAAACTACAAACGAGATTTGGAGGGCCGTGATTTTTTTAAAATTCTTATGGCCTTCAGCTCCTTCACTCGACAATACAGTAAATAAAATCAATCAAATAAATAAAATCAAGCAAAGACTCGTAATTCATCATCCACATTTTTACAGCGATCATACATAACTAACGAATGTTTTAATATAGTCATAATATTTGTAATGCACAATGTAGTTCTGTCAATTTATTTAATTACTAATTTACACTCCTTAATATGGACTAAAACTATGACAAAAGGCCAATATTTTTCTACGGGCGCACTGTTAAAAGCGTAGAAAATATTTTTACTCACGTAGTATATTAAGTAAAGTGAATTTTTCCGCTGAATCCGAGCATGGCCTTGCGACATTGCAAGGTCTTGGACTGAGAAACCTTGAATTTAGTATTGCGCTGGAAAGGAAAACTTCAAGGACTCTAAATTGAAGTATAAAACTCAACGAAGGTTGTGTCCGTTCAGTCACTAGCTTTATTCTTTATCAAAGATTCTACTCCGACATCCAATATCTAGATTAGACATTAAAATTTTTTTTTTTTGTTTTATTATGTATTTAAAGTTCAATTTTTGTTCAACCAAGGTCTTCGACAAGACTAAGATATTTAAACGCTCTAGGCTTCAAAACACCTACTGTTATGATTTCAGATTACGATTATTAATTCCGAAGACAGTCGCCTGTGACGATGTAAACTATAAAGTATACGAAACTTCTGCATTTTGCTCTTATCTTAACTATGTGAGGTCGACTCAGCAATTCCTCTTTTCCATTCAGGGCTGTCCTACGTCATCACTACACTTCTCCCGTATACCCTCTTTCGCATAGTCCATACAAGTTTTTTTAGAACGCATCCTTTTCACAGCAAAAAATGTTTAAAACGTCGGAAATAATGAAATGAAAGTAATAAGTGCTAGACTCGCGATAACTTAACAAAATGCAAATTATGATCTAAATAAGCATATTATTATGATTTTATGACCCGTCTGGTAATAGGTACTTATCGGAGCCCAACACCATAAGCTACCATCCAATCGACCGCCTTCTCATTTCTGGCATGAATGCAGTTAGAACATTAAGAAGAGGTAGGTATTCAGCTTTGTAAATGAATGGGTTCTAGTAAGCCCTCCATTTCGTTTTACTTCGTCAGCTAAAAATACAGTGATAAAATGTTCTCATCTATGTGAACCAAACGAACAGAAGAGAGAAATTGCATAATTGATTGAAACACTGACTACAAAAGCGTAGTAATTGCTACGCCAACAAACTTTTCATCCGTATATTCCAATAAACTGTTATACGGATTCTTCTATTTAACTGACAGCAGGTCTGCAGGTGAACGTTACTTATTGGGATTTCGAAGCAAAAGCTCTGGATTTTTGTTCAATTCTGAAATTCTGATACGTATCTGACATATTGGCATATCCATCATATTCCTCGTTTAAATTTATAAACCTTTAAACCAAAGGTACTTGCATTTTTACTGGTGGTAGAAACTCTTGTGAGTCCGCACGGGTAGGTACCACCGCCCTGCCTATTTCTGCCGTGAAGCAGTAATGCGTTTCGGTTTGAAAGGTGGGCAGCCGTTGTAAGTATACTGAGACCTTAGAGCTTATATCTCAAGGTGGGTGGCGCATTTACGTTGTAGATGTCCATGGGTTCTAGTAACCATTTAACACCAGGTGGGTTTGTGAGTTCGTCCACCCATCTAAGCAATGGAAAAAAACTTTATAAATATATATTTCAGGAGTAGAAGTAATGAAATTTCAGTGTAGATATTTTAACTAAAATACCGCATAGCAACGGACGCACATACGCTAGTCTAAAATATCAAACCCCTTTGTTGAATTATTCATTCACGGATTCACGTCGCTTTTGTTCGTGGAAAAAATACGTCCATTTCGTGAGTGCTCCTAAAATATAACTAGTTTAAAAAAAAAAACCAAGTACTCATAGGCAATGGACAACCCACGAAGCCTATTGAACGAACTGAGTGATCATTGTAGAATTTGTTTGTTAACCATCCGTTAAATTTAGAACGAAACCACAAATACAATAATAGAACAATATGACTGTCACGAATGTGAACAAACAAACGTGATACTACGAATTTCGAAACAAATGAGAATATTGTTGCGTATAATAAGTAATGATTTAATTGTGTCGTGTTTCCATCAAGCGTCAGTCGATATCGATGCTAGAAATTAGATTAGGTTCGTTCAATCTCAGAATTCGTTGCGTTTGTTGCTATTAATTCGATTAATTTAAACCACAAATATTTATTTCTCTACATATTGAGGATATTCGATTTGCAAATTGTGATGCATCGAACTACGAATGAGTTCTTCGTTGAATCTTGTTGCCAACTGTTACTAACTTAAAGCAAACTAGATGATGACCGAGCTTTGCTCGTTTTTTTTATAACGCCATCTTGTTGTGTCTTTAAAGCAGTAAAAATAGTATTATTATTCGCCAATAGATGTCGGGAAGAGTCATAAAGTTGATTATCGATAAAGTTGATTATTGAAAACACGAATAAAACAAACATTTTCTGAAAATAAATCGTAACTAGATCGATTTATCGCCCCCGAAATCCCCTGTATACTAAATTTTATGAAAATCGTTGGAGCCGTTTCCGAGATTCAGACAAGAATTTATTATACAAGAATTGCTCGTTTAAAGGTATAAGATTAGCAAGTCTCGGCTAATGTCTGGATACTTTACGTTTTTCTTTAATTTCTAATTTATGTATAAACTATTAGCCATTAGTGACACAACTTACCTACTATTTATGAATGAAGCTGACATTTGTTTCGAAAAGGTAAAACATAGCACAGATTTGTCATATAAATCTTCTTCCTAGTTGGATACTCTGGGTAGAGTAGTCGTGGTTGTCGATGGACAGGGTTAATTATAAATCTGCTGACTCGAAAATTGTCCATTTCATGATAATAATTTCATCTCACATATTTATATTTTAGATGTAATTTTGTTCATTATAGTGTTTTTGGAGTGACTTAGAATTAAGGAAGTATAATCATAATTAAAGCAATATGACACTTGGTTTTACTTAGACCAAATTATTTAGCCGTACTATTATGTCAGTCTCAATTCGGAGCGATTACACTCTTGATAATAATATGAAACACATTTCAAACTTAATATGATAAGCTATGGAGTCGGTCAGGCTAATTAGCTGGCTCCGCCAGCTGGTAAAGGTAATAGTAATTTAGCTTCTCATCTAAAATTAGGTCAGTGGCTAGAAGTCATGTCGATGAACCACCTTCAAGAATATAGGCCACACTGTTACTAAGGAGCTAAATTATTTTAATTATATTTCTCGGGATAAATTTAGAACATCTTTCGTATTTATACGCGTATTTGGATGGCTACTTAAATATTGTATGGTGCATTAACGACGCTTTAAATATTTGCTTTCGCCGTATTTATTTTTTCACGTATTAGAATCTCTGGATCAACAGGGTCGTTTAGTGCTCTCTCGTATTACGGACGTTTGAAGGTTCTTCTGAAGTACTACTTTAGATGCTTCCGTTCCGATTTTTTGCCATATATCAGCCGTCTCTGGAATAGGTTTTCCTTTACGGTATTTCTAGAGAGATCTATAATGTTCTCTTTTGAATAGCTTTAACGAGAACTCGTAGTGGTTGCCGGCAGCTTGGTTGTGTCGCGTTGCCGATGTCCACAAATCATAGTGATTATATACTAATAGGTGAACTTAGTCTGTTTTCTCTGGTTCTAATATAAAATATCCTATAAACAAATGAGCAATTAGGTACAAGAAATAGTTACGTATAAATCAATAATAATTATAATTTTTCTTTTCAGATGTATTCAGCTAATTTGAGAACATGGCTAACAATGAACTAAACGCCATTTCAACTGGTCGTTAGTAGTATTGGGTAAGTGACTGTGTTTTGTTTTGTTTCAACTTGGATTACGACGAAATAGATCTTACTAACTTCTACTTACTAGCTTCTTCCATTTGACTCCATACAGAGGAGAGCCGTTCGGATTGTCGATAATCCCATTCTCACGGATCATTTGGAACTTCTGGGTCTGCGAAGGGACTTCGGTTCCCTCTGTATTTTGTACCATATGTTCCATGGGGAGTGCTCTGAGAAATTGTTTGAGATGATACCAACATCTTGTTTTTACAATCGTCCCGCCCGCCATCCAGACTACCTGGAGCCACTGTGTTCATTCACAGTGCGTTTCCAGAAAACTTTTTTGCCACGTACCATCCGGCTTTGGAATGAGCTCCCCTTCACGATGTTTCCCGAGCGCTATGACATATCCTTCTTCAAACGAGGCTTGTGGAGAGTTCCTGGCATTGCTGAAGTCCATGGGCGACGGTAACCACTTACCATCAGGTGGGCCGTATGCTCGTCTGCCTATAAGGGCAATAAAAAATTGAAAAAATAACGTGATACTAATGTCAACAGTTTATTAAAATATACACATACATATATTTTATTGTTAAAACGATTTACATTGCCATTGTGTACCGGACATTGCCAATGTTGACCAAAGAAAATATATATTCAATTAGAAAAATGTTTTTTTTTTCAGTTCGGTTAAATACTCTCGTTAATGGATTTTTAATTGCTCGCCGCAAACAACAGCTCGGTGAACGACTGCGTTTGCATACGTATACTACAATTAATTATTAAGCGTATTTTTAATTGAACAGTGATGCCAGCAAAGATGATGAATGCTAGAGGCGGTGCAAACGGGGCGGGTGAGGTGAGTGTGGCCGACAGTCCCCTGGCCACCTTTGAGTCACTCACGCAGGCTGCCGTTATAGCAGTGATGGGAGTTGCCATTGTTGTGTCCAATCTGCTAATAATCGCTGCATTCTTGAACTTCAAAGGTACGTCTTATGGTATGTTTTATCTTATCTATTTATATATATTAAAATTAGCGACCCGCCCTCGCTTCGCTTCGGAAACTGTAATTTATTATTGGTTTCTCCACTATTTAATGGATGTTATTATACACATAAACCTTCCTCTACAATCGCCCTATCTATTAAAAAATCGCATCAAAATCCGTTGCGTAGTTTTAAAGATTTAAGCATACATAGGGATATAGGGATAGAGAAAGCGACTTTGTTTTATACTATGTAGTGATGAATTGCTGTTCGTTAGTCTCGCTAAAACTCGAGAAAGGCTGGACCGATTTAGCTAATTTTGGTCTTGAATTATTTGTGAAAGTCCAGAGAAGGTTTAAAAGATAGATAAATATGAAAATGCTCGAAATTAAATAAAAATAACAATTTGTTTTTCCTTTGATGTGTCCCCCGTCGGACGGATTCCTTTTGTTTGTTTTAAGTTTATTTTATACAAAAGTTTAGCTCTTTTATTTATCGATTGAAGCACTACGAAGTCTGCCGGGTCAGATAGTAAAATCATAAATATGGGTAGCATAATTTATAGGTGTGGCTTTCATAATTAATAATTATATGGTTGGTACATTTGAAAATTCAGGTCAAGCGCTGACTCGCAAAAAATGTTGTTTGCATACTTTCAGTAACGTTTTGTTGTAAGCCCCGATTTGTTTTTACATAGAACACCATTTTAACGAAGGAGTGAATTAAATTTGTGTTGCAGGTCTCTCAAACGAAGTGATAAACTACTATCTACTATCATTGGCTGTTGCGGATTTACTATGCGGCTTGCTTGTGGTACCACTATCAGTATACCCTGCGATAACAGGCCGCTGGATGTTCGGGGATCTCATGTGTAGACTTGCCGGTTACGTAGAAGTCACCTTGTGGTCCGTCTCAGTCTATACTTTCATGTGGATCTCCGTCGATAGATATCTTGCCGTCAGAAAACCTCTCCGATATGAGACGGTTAGTGCAACGGTAGTTATCCTTTTCCATATTTTTCTTTTTGTTTTTATCGTAATTTTTGCTCTTAAACTGCTTAAACTAGTTAGATCTAGTAGTAAATGTTGATGTGTAGTTTAAAATCAATCGAACTTTAATAATCTGTTTACATTACCTTCTCAGTGGAACATTGCTACATTAGAGGTGTAGTTTACTACATTTTCACTTTGCACTTGCTTCATTAATAAAATATTAAAAAAAAAAAATTGATCAGTAAATTGGCAAATTGTCTTTATGAGTTGCTACAATTTTTTTAGCATAATTTAAATTGACTTTTACCATTTATAGAAATGTGAATAAATTTTTCATGTTAAATGTTGAACAGGTGCAAACACGTACTCGCAGTCAATGCTGGATGGTATTCACTTGGATCTCGGCAGCCATGCTGTGTTGTCCGCCTTTACTTGGCTATAAAAAAGATGCGAACTTCGACAAGGAAACTTTCATATGCATGCTTGATTGGGGCACTACATACGCCTACACTGCCACTCTAGGTATCCTTGTGCTGGGACCTAGCGTTATTTCAATTGTTTACAACTACTTTTACATTTTTTCGATGAAACGGAAACTGCATAGCGGAGTGCCTATTCATGATAAGGAATACGCGACTGCTTTGGCTGAGAACCTCGCTAACCCTAGCCACTGGATGAGTTTCGTTTTGGTGTCCGTGTTCTGGTTGAGTTGGGCTCCGTATGCCGGTGTGAGAATGTACGAATACGTCACCAATCAAGAAATCAAAATTCCAATGTTACATTTCGGCATGGTTTGGCTTGGTATTATGAATTCGTTTTGGAAAATTATAATTTTGATTTCACTCAGCCCCCAGTTCCGGCTTGCGCTTCGAATTTTGTGTTTGACTGCATGCTGCCGCACCAAAGGACGCCTGCAAGCCGAACTCATCGGTATGGATAATGATGACTGAAACGAAGTTGCCATTCGTGCCCGACAGACCTACCTACAGACTCGTATACAGTACGAGCAAATGAAAGGGACTGTCATATAGCACAAGCTGAGTGGATGTAATGCATCCACTACTGTCTAATGCTGCGAACGAATATCCGTGGCTTGTTCATCACATTTCTCTCAGTGTAGACTTGATTTTACTAAAACATCATTTTTATTATTAGACATCATTCTAAATTATTTTTAGGTAAAGCTTCAAGTTGTGATATTTTTTCTCGTAGTTGGAACTATGTTTGTAATGTGACATTGCAAGATGACATGGAAAGCATTTTGGAGAATCAGACGAATTTACTGACTTTTAATGTGAACTTTTAGTATGTTGTCGATATGAATCAAAAAAGGACCCGACTAGAAGAAAGTGATTGGTTATGTTTTTCTGACAATAATGTGCCTAAGTTCCAATTTAAACATTATTTCCTGCAATACTACGTTCATATCATTTTTAGCTAATCAATAGTGTGATTTATTAAGTAGTTTATTATATTTATTTTGTGAATAGTTATTATATATAGATGTGCACTATGAATGCAATGTTAAATATTATCATTACTGTATAGAGTGAACTAGAAGAAATTGTGTTTCAAAGTTGTTTTGTGTGGTTAAAAGGACAAAATGAGTGGAGAAAAAATACAGTCTGCGTCGAGATGGACAATTTAATTTGAATAATGTGCAGTGTGAACCGGCTTAGCTATGGCCTTTTATTCAGGCGAAACATTCAAACACATTTTGTTAAAAGTGACTAGTGTTCGTTATATTTGCTGACCGTCCCGAGAACTAATTGCGATACAACGAAACGATCGACGCTCAATGAATTGAACAGTTTTTTTGTTGGTCTCGTGGGAGTTTATATATGCAAACGTACGGAAATAAATAAGAAATGTCGGAAAATGTAATCGAATAAATAGTGTTCTCGTTCATTGTTAGAGTATAACATAGTATAATATAATGCACTTCTTAATTAACAAATTAATATCATTGCATTTTATATCTTAGAAGACAGTAAAATACTTTGTTCTCACTAATAAAAATTAAATGAGTGTTGTACAATGTTTTAATTGCATTCTGTTGGAATTTTGTAGTTTATTAACGCACATGTTTATCGTAGTAACACAACGTAATCATACAGGTATTTTATTGTTTAAGTAGTGCATTTATTCACAAATACAGATGGCTGTGCTTAGACATTATCTCATGTAACAGATTTTATTAGTGTTTAGATTTGAATGTTTCCGATAGTTTTATTGTTCGGCGAATGCTATTGTAGTTAGTTGTATATTACATAAACTAGCAAAATTACATATAAAAATAACTGTTTTTCTCATAATTGTGGTTATCGATAAAATTTTGTATTTCATATAAAAAATTAAATATTTCCGCAAGATTAATAATGAAATAGCGGGTAGAAAATATTTTTTGTAGCTGAACTGGACATGAATATTATAACTATATCAAATAGACAAACATGTCCATCGATGTACCTAGCTGTAGGTAAGTTTTATGGTAGTAAAAAAACGATAAAGCAATTGTAATGTGTTTTGAGTTGAATTTTGGCAATATACGATGAGAGGTTGCTGGAGAAATTTTAGATAATGATGCGGTATTTTTTAGTTTTCAATAAATTTCCAATTCGTTTATATATACCAGAACCAAAAGACACTAGGCACTAACTAAAGTAGGCCATGTTTTGCTTCATCGGGTCATTGCTAATCTGATTAAGCAATTGAAAAGGAAATTCAATAGGGTCCAGTGGCCATCATGTCAATATGAAACGAAATATTTAGTTCAAATACGGAAATAATACATAAATATGTTATATGGAATTTGTGATGCGTTTTGTAACTTAAAATTGGCAATTGGTTTTAAATTCGAACAAAATTTTTAATTTTGAATTGAATTATTTTAATACTATTTCAAAATATTATGATTTACGTTTTGCATAAACGTTAAGATTTTCGACTATGTATTGAATATGAGAACTATTCGACTTGTCATTTCTGGTGTTCATTTTATTTATTGTAGTGTAGAAGAATATTCTTAGATTTTCTAGAAAAAAATCTTCAAAAAAAATAAAAAAATTAGAACGCTTTTGCGTATTACTGTTGGAAAACATTACATTACAGATTAAACGAAGGTTGAGCTATCTTTTTTCATTAAAACCGAAACAGTATTTGGACTAGCCTACAAAAAATATTCAGAATATGCGTTCCGTTGTATTTAAAAATGTTAAAAGTACAAAATGGTTGTGGTCTTATTAATAAAATATCTCTTGTAGTTTATAGTACGGCGATTGCTGATATTTCTATATAAACTTGATTATGAAACTTTATTTCTTAAAAACCACAACCTAGAATATTAATAAACCCGTCGTTCAGGTATTGTTTACCGGTCGTATGGGTCAATCTGGAAGTCATAACCGCTACAAAACGCTAATGCTTGCATGTTATTGTGGTACACACCATAATTACTGCAAAACGTTAAACTTTAATCAGATATGGAATCAATAATGAAATGATAGCTTATTTGACTCTTGTGATGAACTGATTACAAATTAACTTTGGTTGGAAAAATAAGTCTTGATGTTAAATTTATTGTACAATATTTAAACCTACATATTATTAACAATAAATATTATATTAGTGTTGTTCAATCGTAGAGAATCGATGTTATATACATAAAATATATAGATTTATAATAGACTAGTAGAGTTAATGTTAAAAGCAAGCTGGGGTATTATTTTGTAAAATTGACAATTTTGACTGTAAAAAATCTGTTAGAGTAAAATATTCATTTATTATTTTATTGCTCAGATTACATGTTTTTGGATTGAGTTCTTTTTAATACTCAACAAAACAAGTTGATATATATACATATCTATGTTAACGAAGTTACATGTCAGTGACTGGTAAATGAAAATATTATAATAATTATATATTCGATGGCTTCTAATTATTAGTAGTTTTACAACAAACAAAATATATATATATCTATATTTTAAGCTCAATTATGAAATCTTTGTAATGCCTGAGTGTAGTATTTAATGAGATTATATATTTGTTTAGCAATAATAACTTGTTTTATGGATATCGTTTCTGTGTATTAAGCGTTTATGTTACAGTTACCATCCCAAAATGGTTGTGACTTTAATAAGGTAATATGTATATCTATCGAATGCTACTATCTGCCATTGATTATTAGTACGTACTTCTTAAAAACTATAATATAATATTAATTGCTTCTAATTTATGGACAGTCAATTTCGTAATAGTATCACGTTGGGGCTTGTTGCAGTGAAGTAATGAATTAACTTATGTATGTGCATTTAATTACTTGCTCAATGGAATGAAATGAAAACAATAAAATAAGATAAACGTTGTTATTTCTGTTTTCGCTTTATAAATTAGGAGCATAATATTTTTTTTTTATAATATAATTTACCTACCCCAGTGAATGCATAGTCAATTTCGCTCGCTAGCCTTTAATATCAAAATAATTCTAAAAAAGTTCTTCTTAGTACGAAAGTTTAATGAATATAAAGGTTTAATTTGTGATTTTAAGTGATTTCTTAGAGAATTTAAATATTGTTAGAAAATTTAGAAGATTTAGAATTTATTAGGATGTTATCGCGTATATTATAATACAAAATGCGTTGAAAGCTGAATGAAAAGGGTATGTTTGAATTTGGGAAATAAACCCTAAATTCTTAAGCCAGGTTTTCTTAAGACAGACATATTTGTCTATTAGGGGTATGGGATTAGAATCAAATATTTTGAATGTTTGCTAGAATCGAAGATGCCCATTATCAAAGAATTTGCAGTGATTAATAATAATGTTATAACACAAAAAAAAATCAACTGGTTATTATATAAATTCATGAACAAAACACAGATTTAAACTTTTATAAATATTTAAAATCTCAAAACATTCCTTATGATAGAAACCTAAAATGCGTTCGATTCAAGTATTGGTTTTATTTTAATGTGACTCTTTATATACTTGAGGGACTTATCCTCGAGTTTTAAGTACTAAAACGAACCTGTAAAATCCTCGGGTTATCAAAATAACTCAACTTCGTCGTTCTATCTAAGTAATAAGAAATAATAACCTAAAGGGGAATGCCCACTCTCCATAGTGTGCTGGGCCAAAGATGGACATCAAAATTAAATATTACTATAAAAATGGACTGTTTCAAATTCTTAAATGTATTAGATATCTAAAAAATATATTGAAATTGACGCCACTATTATAAAAATAAAACATTTGAAGTATTCTCAAATACTGAAAATGTTTTATTTGTATACTTAAAATGTTTACTTAATACGTAAAAGGTTTTGATGCTGGCAATATTTTTCCCGCAAAAATCAAAAACCTTGTTTTTTCAATAGTTACTTTTTTTAAACTACTTATTGTAAACTGTAGTGGCGCTTATTTGGAAGAAAGTAAATGCATATTTATTTATGACAAAATTAATGCACTAAGTGTTTTTTCTCTAATCTATTGTCCGCTTTGGGCCTGAAATGGGCATTCCCCTTTGAAGTTCCGGTAATCAATCATTCTATTTCCTTACGTTCAATAGTTATTTGTATTGAGCGATATAATAATTTAAAATCATACCTAAATACTCATATTTATCAATATACTGCTATTTGGTGTTTTTATCTAATAAATATTTAGCTCCTATGGTTGTTTCATTTTAATATTACAGTATGAAATTTTAATATATACATTAAAACCAATTCAGTTTTCTATTTGATATTGCATTGTTGATTTAATCTGTGATGTGTGTACGGGACACGCATGACAACTTCACCTCGTATATGTCTTCTAGGCTGTCCAATTAACAATCAGCGTCAAGTAGGCCCATAACACATCTATCTATCAAAATATGAGAGGTTATTCATAACTTGGATTCTCTGATCTCTCGTTGCCATTTTCCTTAATGTACTATAACATTATGAGGCATTAAAGGGACATCACTATTTCTTAGTTTGACTATTTTTAATGACTTTTTCAGAAGAGGACAGTAACATTTCCCGTAATGACTCGTCAAGTAATTGATACTGTTTTACTAAAAGTTGATAAAAGTGTATTTATGAATTATTTTTTAGCGATCTGTAGAAAGAAGAAAGAATTTTCTTATCAAGAAGAGGTCTATTCCTGTCAAAAGTGTATTAGTGTTGAGTGGTACACTAATCTGCTGTATCTGGTTTATTTTAAGGCTTTTAAATATTTATTTCAACACAAGAAATATGCCATGAATACTATGTAAAGAAGTTGTGAAGTCAAAATGTTAAATGATAAGAAACATTAATAGATACGCAATGTATTATTGATTTACAGCTAGAGTAACATACTTTAATCCGAGCAAGTACGCTTTGAACAGCCCACAGTAAGCATTTTCGTTAACATTATTAGCTTTTATACTTGAAGGTCCTTAAAAATATTTAAATATTTACTCGTGTTTGATGTTTAGCCTTAAGTCTGCAATAAAAAAATAACGTTTAAACAATAATTACACGACCTTATTGTTAAAATAAGATAACTATATATTTAAATAAATAAACAAATTCTTTTCTTCTATCAGGATAACGTCGTACAACTGTGTGCACTTGATGTTTTATCATGCCAAATGTCTGCGCTACTTATGGCTTTTTTTATAGTTTAAATGTTCTATTTGTTTACAAAGACTATTTTATTATTTCTACTGGGTAATAGAATGAAAATAATGATGAAGAATATAAAGCACTGACCGACACGCATTCAGTTTAATTCTCGTTTATAAGTAGTAAAAGTAAAAGTTAATTAAGGCTCTTAAGGATATTTTATTTATTTTGTTTAATTACCAGTTAAACCAGTTGGTTTGGTCTTTTAAAATTAAAATAATTGATGGTAGGTTCCACGTGTTTGTTAAAAACTAAATGACTGGGTGAACTTCTTACGCCATCTGTTGAAAGAAATTTAGAGTGAATTTTATTATTTTTTAGAAATGTTGATTGTTACGAATTTTTTTAAACCACTCCAGTAATATAGCGAACAAAATAATTAAAAATTAATTAGGGCGCTAGGCTGTTTTCAAGTTTTTGCGAGATCAACACGCGACCATTCATTTTTATATAAAGAATGTTAATATACATCGCTCTTTTTTAGTCTCCAAGCAACATGGTTCATTATTAATATTCATTTTTTTTTTATTCCTCGCATGGGTGGACGATCTCACAGCCCACCTGGTGTTAAGTGGTTACTGGAGCCCATAGACATCTACAACGTAAATGCGCCTATCTACTTACGGACTACATTAATTTGAAATCAGTGGCAAAAGTTAATACAATTCAGTACAATGTGTTCAAGTATACTCCACCAAGACGCCTTGTCTGTGTGAGGTTTTTATTTTATTTAATTTTTTTGAATGAGGGATTACTGGTGACCCGGAGGCCTCTCCAGTTTCATCAGTACAGGTGGGCCAGCAGAGGCTCAGCCAGGTGGGGTGGGATTTGCTAACAGCTGCCTGAGCACCTCCAAAGGAGACCTAACAACTCAAGGCCAGCTGCTTCGCGAATGAATCTACGACCGGATTGCAATCGCGACCCACTGAGAAAATTCGTCATAGTGTGAGGTGTCAGCTCCATTGCTTGCTGAAATCACCTTTTCTCAAAACTATTTTTTATTAAGTTTTACTCTAATATTATCGTTATTTTCTATTCGAATAACTATCCAACATCTAGTAGTTAGTGAGCTCGCCTGACAATAAATGAAAACAAAACACATCCGATTAGAAACACCGAGGATGATAGCTTATATAAACGGATCCTCAGGGTGGCGGCGACAATTGAGACAATTTACTTCCACACGAAATAATATATTCTCTTTAGTACACGTTACGGTGGGTAGAATACGAATGCAATAGAGATATGCTAACCGTCGGTATTTATACAATCATCTTGACCTATTTTAATACAAACTGAGTAGGTAATATTAAACATTGTTCATCTTAATTATTCTGCTGATTATTTACGTACAATTATTATTTGATAATATCGAATTATGTAACAAATAACATTAAGACTTATTGCGCCGGAAGCTGTCAAGCGGAAGGCGCCAATAAAATATTATAAGTATAAAGAAATATGAATGAACTATTTACTTGATTATGAAATTACTAATTATATTATAAGAATAATAAGTTCTATATATTTCCTAAGTTCGTAAATAATTTATTATGTGAGGCCGGAAGTGTTGCTCGATAACATTCGGCCATCCTGTATATGCCGTGTCCCACGGCGATCAGCGCTGCTATTGGCGCCTGGTTTGTCGCTGGTGTATGGCACCTGAAATTGACATGTTTAAGCAGTAATTATATCTTGTATTATCTAATTCATACGACACACCTTTTATTTATCATAGATCACACACACCTTTTATTT